ACATACCCAAATTACAATAAAAATATTATTGACACTATGCTTACAAATCAGTTTAAGACAACCAAAATAGTTAAATTAAGTGCTTATTCAATTTATCTTTATTCAGCTTTCGACGAAAATGCATAAACTTATTTCAAGTGGTTATCTAATATTTATTAGTTGGTTGAAATATTCTTTGACTAAATTGGGACTGAAGTAGAGGATAGATTTCGTGCAGTAGTTAACAGAAAAGTTATTGGAGGGCTCTGATGTTATTCACTTTCATCAAGTTGTATCCGGAGTTTCTTTGGAAGTTTACTATTTAAGAATACGTTAGAACTTTTGAAATGTCACAGATGCAATTAATGACTAGTCATGCCAGTGGATTTTTACAAGCTGTTTCTGAACACGTTATACTGTTTTCATTTCGATTATTGATATCCAGCTAATTAATTTACTTTAAACGTCAAATCTATTCGAATCATTAATTTATTTTACGACTACATCCATAGATATTTAAAGGAAAATAATTTCAAAACATATACAGTTGAAAGCAAATGATTAATCTTCACATTATATTCCTGATTTTTACAAGATTGTTACTTTGAAGAGCTCACAGGAATTATTGGAATATCTTAAATTCCATAGATATAATACAAAACTAGATTTATTATAAAATTTTTCCGATGGAAGTGCTATTAGATTGTGACGCAATGAAAGCATACTTACGCTAGACAACAGTTTATTTATGATAATAAAAGTCAGTTAGTCAGCTACAACGTAGGATCGGTCACATATGTACGTCGGTCCAAGTTGCCAAACCGCATTAGCACAACAAGATGGACACCGGACTCATAGAAGTAGTTAATTCAGTGATGATAACATATAAAAGAAAGATTGCATATAAGGGTATAGTACAGGAAGAAAGATATGAAGCGACTTCAATCTCACGGTGTAAGGAAAGACAAAGAGTGTATACACCGACGCCATTGTGATCGATTCTGAGCCATGTCACCAAGAGTCTCCAACCATTGGTAATAAAAACATTGTATTTATCACTATGATATTCAACCTAATAGATGGAATGTGATTTTTTTCATTAATTCAGTGTATTGGTGAATAGAGAATTCGACGCGAACGTAAACAGAAAAAACATCATCAATACTTTATAAAAAAGATATGAAATTATCAGTTCATCATGATTAAGTTTTATGGATAGCTTTGATTGCTTTACTCAGTTATTCTTTAAGAAACCAACATGATTTTAATGTTGATTTGACAATTGGTATTAAACTTTATGTTATTTGTCGATAATCTCCTCTTGATAACACACGGCGAGCAACTGCCAACAAATCTGATTAGATTTAACCACTATGCAGTGAAATAGCTTACGTTCAAAAGAATAAATGAAAGGTTTCTGCGAACTGATTTGAAATTAGTAACAAGCATTACTTTAAATGTTATTCATGTTTTAAAGTTCAGTTATTTTGTTAATATTTTAAGTCGGTAATGATAAGTAGAAACCTTGTATAAAAAACTTAGAAAGACGAAATCAGAGAATATGGACTGATAGCTTAATTACCCAAACATACATGAAGGGAACGAACCGTAGTGAAATAAATTTATCAGTCAGTCTATGGATTAAATAAAGCTAAATTCTGAATACTTATATTATTCTGGTGAAATCAATGGCTACTTTGCTGTCTCACGTATTAATAAATGTTAAAAAAGTAATCAAAGTAAAAGCGATCGTAATTACTTTCTGTATTTAACTTGATTGACTATAAATGTGACAAAGTATTGATCAGTTAACATACACATTCATATTCAAATATATTTCATGAAACAATTACTGATTATTTGAAGTAAATGTTCATTCAGTTTCATCGAAAATATATTTAACAAAACTAGAAAATAAAATTATTTTCAGGTTTTTGTTTCTTCAATAACAATTCAATCCATGTAAGTTGTTCAAGTTACACTAAAAAGGAAACCTGATGGAAGAAAAGTACATGACTCACCAACTACAGCTACTCTCATTCATTTATTTCAAACATCATCATTATTAAAGAAGAAGAATGTATTTGTAAAATCTCAGTGAAAGAATTTAAAGTAAATCCAACTATTCGCCTGGCAATCTGGTCCAAGCTTTTTCAAGGAAATCATCATTGTTGTTTGAAAAAACAAATGCTTTAAGTTGTGATACCACTATTTTTAGTTTGCAATATCTGACAAATGTTTGCTTAACCTAAAATATTTCATAATATATAATCCGAGCAAATATAAATATTTTTAGACTTATTTCGTATTGTGACTTTATTGTTATGATTTCAGCTTTTACGATGAAAAATGTGTTAGTAACGTCTAAGAACCTTTCAGACTGTTGTCTCTATAAAACAAACCAGCATCACAGGATAGTGAAACGTTGTGTTGTAGCCGCCTATTAATCGACCTCGTACTGTAATGATTTATATGAAGTGATGTATTCAATATAAGTATACTTCACACATGAGTGTTAAATTTACACAATAAACTTTGATCAAATACTTTTTTGTAAAATGTTTTGTGACTAGAGAAATTAAATTTTGTAGTGAGTTATAAACATTGAAATTACCTATTCATGAAACCTTTTAGTGTACTATTGAACGATATTTTATCTCGACTTCGACTCAAATTACGTAAACCTTAGATGCCAAGTAATGACACCGAAAAGTTAGTTTTTCTGTTCATAACTTCCTTATAATTTCTTAGGATTCACACATAAAAATTAGGGTTAGGAATTAAAGTAAAGGTTTTCATCATGAACTGACATCAGCTAAAATGCTATTTAACCAAATGGATGAATGGATTCCCTGCCGAAATCCACGAGTAACTAGCGGTAATTTCATTGTTTAGTCCCCAAATTATAGTCTCCAGGGTTTATTTTTTCACTTGCTAAAATACACTGTAAAGTGTTTATGGACTCATATTACTGGAATACAGTGTAAATATAGTCTAAGAAAGGCCACCACACGTGTTCAAGATTTTGTAGCCCCTACCATTTAGATGGAAAAAATGTTAAATATGCTAACTTGATTGACCTAATAAATATTCGACTTCTTTCGTTTTAGGTTTCTTATTCAAAACAACTATCAACCAACAACAAAGTCAGAATTTTCAATATAAACTTCAAGACAGGTCTACTGTGTGAAGGGCGGAAACTTGGAGAACTAAGAAAGCCATCATCTAGAAGACAAATTGTTTCTTAACAGATGCCTACGCAAAATAATTAAGATCCGTTGACCAGACACTATCAGCAACAATTTACTGAGGGAGAGAACAAATCAGATTCCAGCGGAGGGAGAAATGAGGAAGAAGTGCTGGAAATGGATCGGACACACATTGAGGAAAGCACCCAACTGCGTCACAAGACGAGCCCTCACTTGGAATCCTCAAGGCCAGGGGAGAAGCGGAAGACCAATGAACACATTACGTCGAGAAATGGAGACAGACATTAGAAGAATGAACAACAGTTGGATAGAACTGAAAAGAAAGACCCAGGACAGAGTGGGTTGGAGAATGTTGGTCGGCGGCCTACACTCCATTGGGAGAAACAGACGTTAGTAAGTAAGGAAGGTTTTTATTATTTTTACATGAGAAATAAGAGTATAAACTAAAGAAGAATCCAGATTGTTGGGCAGGAATATATATGACCATTCAGACAAATAAGATCATGATAAACTCTTACTGTTTCTTATACATCTAAAGAAGGTTATCGGGCTATATTTTAAATCAATTAAAGTTAATTATACTTACCACAGGACTTTGGCCAATAAACTTCAAGACCTTATCAGTTCTATGTTTTGGATTATTTTAAATATGAGTTTTTAAGCAACTAACTATTTATAAAAATTCCAAAATCATGCCTTTCAGTCTTATCCAAGTCTACTACCTTCTGATAATACATTTCATTTTAATTGTTATTTTATCACAGTCATATAAAAAAAACAATATCTGGGAGTGTAAAATGTTTCTGATTAGATTCACATTACATTCATTCAATATTTATCTTGACATATGTCCAGCTTTCTTCTGTCTGATCCATATTTAACGTTCGAATAATAATCGTGATACATAAATCTAGACATTTAGCTAAATATTGATAAATTACCAATCTTATGTTTATGTTAAGAAAAATATTAATGAAATTTAAGTGATATTTTAACTATCATAATGTTTTAATTTTCAAGATATAGAATAGGAAATAGATAAAATATTGATGGGTATCCCCATATATCAATACATACAAACTATGACTATTTGAAATCAAATAAAACTGCGAAATCACTGTGAATAAATATACTCAAAAGTGGAGTAATACCAATAAAAAATGTGTGCTGAAAGTAGTATAGTTTAACTCACAAAATAATACGTTCAAGATGATTCATGACCCAGTGATCACTAAAAACAATTTTTTTATTTCATTAATAACCAGCTTTACTTACAGAATTATTGATGAGAGAACTCTATACTTTTATTTTAGTCGGTAAAATAAACTCAAATGTTTCATTATGGTGTAAGTGATTAAATTTATTAACTAATTTTAAATTATAGTTCAAAGATTCTCTTAAACTCTAAAAAATTTACACGATGATGGCTATCAAATTATAGTTAACAAACTAATACGTATATATGTACATATACAGTTCAAACTTGACTATCACCAGTTGTCTGGTCTTATGAATATCCCAATGTTATGATGCTCGGACTGAAAATTGAATATAGCACTATTTGCTTAAGACATTAGACATTTGGTCACTCACAATTTTATTCGCTATACTGAGAACTAAACTAATCTTCAAGATTAATTAGGTGATTCCATAACTCTCTTAGTGAAGCTTAGAAACATTTTAAAATCCAAATTCTGTTTTGATCAAACGATTAAATGTCTTAATATTGTTACATGTTATCCACCTATTTGAGTCAGAAGCATTTAGTTACGTTACATATAAATATATATTCAATAAACAAGCGAAACTCACATTCTTGACGTTTCGAATATTTCTGATCTATAGTTCGCCACCTTCTTTGATTACATCTTCTTGATGATAAATTCAAAGTATCTAGTCTACTTGAAATAAGGTTTTCTTCAGATGGATGGAAAAACCGTTCAAGATAGTTATTGTGGAAATTAGAAGGAATTATTCTATTACTTTTTAGATCTGATTCTATGAAAAATCTTGGTAGGGTAAAATTCGATATCTGATTCCATTCATTTGAGTTCGTTTGAGAATTATTTTCATTTAAGGTACTGAATTTGTTTGAATAAACGTCAGGTGAAGCAGTCCTAGACCGCCTCAATTCGATAAACGTCTCTTGTCTATCTTTTTCCTTGAACTGCAGCTGAGAATTATTTCCAGGGACGTAAATATAATCAAAAAATGAAGACAAACGATCGTTATAAACGTACCTTTTTAGGTTATTCGCAGCACATTTGATATTATGGTTTCTGTGGTTTGTGTAACCATCAGCGAAACCATTAACGTCTATGTCGAATGAAGCGTCCGATAGTCTCCTAGAATGATTCCACTTTCGAAACTCAATGAGACTCCTATGTTTTGATTTTGTACCATCTATTTTATTATTTTTTAACTCTAATAAGTCTTGATTAGGTAGAGCAAAAGGGATTTCAGACGTAGAATAATTTGTATTGTGAACCTCATCAATGGGAGAAGTTGAAATATCTACTAACCGTTTTTGTTTTGAAATATTCTGTATTTCTGGCAAATATGAATTGAAATGTTTAGATGTTTTGTTTAACTTATTATATGAGTCTAGAACCCTCAAATCGAAAGTCGCATCCGAATTATAATGATTGGTTTGGTATATAAAATCATTTGGTTTATTGTTTGATGTATTCAAGGAAGCAATTACAACGTTATGTCCGGGTTCAGTTTTATCCCTATTTTGGTTTTTGGGTTTGCTAAGAAAAAAACCACAACCGTGACTTGGTAAAAACTTATTTGTTGGATGATGTTCTAAAATACTGGTTTTATTAGGATAAAGGCATGATGAGGCTGAAACTGGTCTTGTGTCATTCATATCTCCTCGCTTCTGCAGAATGCTATTTAACTGTTTTTCTGCAGACTTTTTTATGTTCTCGAAAGATAGATTGTCTTCAGAACTAGCGCTAACTATTGAGGACAAATCTGAGTTTCCTAGTTCTGTGGAAAATGGACGGTTTAAATTTACGACTGAATTTTCAAATGGTATGGACAATTTTGTGCTATCTCTAAACTTGTCATTTTTTTCTCTTAACGATAAGATTTGGTTTTGTCGACTTTTTTGATAAGCTGATAGCTCATTGTGTTCTTGTTTATACTCCAAACTTTTTTGACATACGAATTTTTGTACATCTAACATGTGACTGGATTTCAACGGCCAGGTTCCACATAGAAGTTCTCTTAGTTCATTAACAACTTTGGTAATTTGTGTAGAAAACATTCCTAAGTTTTCACGTTGATTGTAGTTTGATTGATTATTGTCAAAACTACGGTTTTTCATTGACTTGGAATCATTTATCTTCCCATGATATAAAAGATTACTAGTAAGATAGTTCTCACAGTGTTGTGGTCGTCCCTTCTGTTCATTATTTTTGGAACTTTTATAATTTGAAATTACTTTGTCGTTATTTTCTTTCTTTAACATGGTATCTAAATGTTTCCCAGTTACTTTGCCAAAAATTGCTTCTAATTGAACTCTTAGTTTTTTTCTGTTTTCGTTGTATGTTGAGTGTTGATTATTCATTTGGTGAAGGTTCATTGTATCACACCTGTCACGTGGACTAACATGTAAACCATCTTTATTATTTACGTTGTTTTTAATCAAATGATTTAAAAAATTTTCATCTTTATTATCGATTTCTTCTGTAAAATCTTTTATATTCGAACTGGAATTAAAACTAGATGTTGAACTGTCCTTTCCGTGTTGATACTTGTTATTAAATTCAGTTATGCGTGTATTCTCATGTAAACTTACCTCAGAAGTATTGGTTTCCAGTTTGTTTGATAACTCATAAATTGTAATGTACTCTGGACCCAAAACTGTCACATGTTTTTTACGTTTATCATTGAGACGAATCGGTCCAGGATTCTCTTGGTTCAACTTTCGATTACATAACACAGTATTTCTGTGTGCTTGAAAGTTGGATATATTTTCATTTTTCCTTTGAAGAGGTTTTGTTATCGCCCTACTTTTGATGACTTTCGCTAGTGGGAGTGAATCCAAATTATTATTTCTTATATAAACGGCTACAGGTGAAGATGAAATTGATGAGGATGGCTGGAAAATCATTCCACGTAAAACGCCTATGTTGTTGATTACGTTATCTTGGTTGGAATCCTTCCATTGGAAAATGAAGTTTATACATTTGTTTACAATGTCGATTTGTCATTCAACCGTTTAATTTTTATTAATATTTAAAGGAAATAATTAGATAAAGGTTTTTGGCATTGTGTATGTAATTACTAAAAAATTTACCAACTGTGTATTTTCAAACCTCACTTTCTACGGACATCGAATTTATAGTTGCTGACGAGAAAACCTAATTGAGTAGATTTTAAGGAAAGTCATATTCTTCAATGTTATATTTAAAAAAATTAAATTGCTGTCAGATTTTTAAAGTTAGCTGAAGCTTTTCAGCGTACATTTTTTCGGCTTTTACTTGTAAATTATTTAAAACCCTACAAATTCAGGCCATCCACAGTAAATTAATATCACTTGGGACATAACAAGCGGTTAGTAGAATTCTTTAGTTACTACGAAAAGTGTATCATTTGTCTTCAAACTTTAAATGGCGTTTCACTTAAACGGTATTTTGTAGTATATCCCTCCTTGGAAAAATATCTAGTTTTTAAGAGTCAAATAATTTAATGAGAAAAACTAAAACCCTATTTATGCCAAATATCTATGTTGTTTTAAAAATGAAAGGGCTAATGAAAGCTAATGTTATTATTAATAAACTCTTAATTTAAAAAATTGTTTATTTCAACATCATACAGTTCTTTTGATTTTTAAAAGATTAATGACTAGGCAATTAACCTACTAACTGGAACTAAACGGAGAAATCTTTCAAGTTAATGTCACAACATTGATAGTTATCGGTTAGAAAACCTGCATAGAGTGAGCTTAAAAATATACGGTAAGTACATACCAAGACTCTGAATTGGTTAATTTTGGCAGAAATGAATGATATCTTTTGACGTCAGCTCAAGATATATAAAACAATAGTATTAACTAGAAAACAGTATGCTTGGTTTTTGTAATTATCAATTGTTTTTAATTATAGTAAATTATGCCTAAATAAACATTGACTTCAAACCTAGGATTATTTTAAACAAATGAAAATTAATTATTTCAGCGATTGCAATAAAGTCAGGTATATTAAATCAGTCAGTAAATTTTATGCCATTTTATATTATTCTAATTTATCATATATGTAGACCACCACTAGTTTTAATCTTTTTTTTCTGATCCATGATTAAATAATTTAATCATCACTCTACATGAGAACAACAAACATTGAACAGTTAAAAATGTTTTGTCTCCGAAGACACTTTAGATTAATTATAAATAGTATTTCGATAAAACCGCGTAAACTATTTAAAACCTTTAGGTACATTATTAAGTGATCAGTTTGTGATAAATTCTATGAACCACTATACACCTCATATGACATCATCAGTCGTGGGTTACTGAATTCCGTTTTTACACTGCGATAGGTAAAACCTTTAAATGGCTAGAAACAGGATTTATTAAAATAGAATCCACTACGGTTTTCGTTAATCAACGGTGAATGTTTAAAATAAAATTTGACAGATACCAGAGAAGTGCTCTGGTTTCTAATTACTAATATTTTGATTTGTACGTTTATAGAAAAGACTCTAAATCAAGATATATATAATAATGGATTGGTGTTTAAATTTAAGTTAACAGAAATAAACATAAAGAACCTGAACCTTCATATAAGAGCTGAATTTTAAAATTAAAGATGATAAACTACGTATTAACTATATTTCTAAACTTTTCGTATAACCAATAAGAAAATGAAAAAGGTTCTATGGTAGTATTATCAGAATCATATTCGCAAGTATCCAATATTTAGGTTTAATCACAACAAACCTATATTACACATCATTGCAGAATCGTTAAATGTTGCCTGCTCTCTGAAACTTTGAAGCCATAGTTGCTTTATGGGAATGTATGTGACTAAGTTCACTATCACAGGATTCCCAGCGAAATGTCTCATAAATACTTCCTGTCACTCAGAATCTCAGAAAACAGAATAACAAGTCTACTCGATAGGTATTTATGACTTCATGGTGTTTCGTGGATTATTACATCCTGACTTCAAATATCTACGCAAAAACCCACTCGTGATTAGGACGTTTTGTCGAAACCTACGGGAATTGTGAAAGTAAAGAAACTAAATAACGATCTTCTGGTGGATTACTGTTTAGTTTAGTTGATAGAGACATGTCACGTATACTTCCGAAACATAGCTAACTAATCACTGAGAATTTACCAGATCTTGCTTTCAAGCTTCGATGTATGAAACTTAACCTCTTTAACTAACAAATATCAATCTGGAATCGATTTCATTTAAGTCTAATCGAACCTTCTTTTAATTATTTAATTTGCTATACTTACAATAAGAATGTGGTATACAGTCTTTGTCTAAGGTAACCACAAGTAAGTTGCGATGTACTAAATATATGTGTATCGGTTTAGTAATCCACTGACGAATATTTATTTTTTTACGGGCAAAAATATTTAAAAGATTTACATTCCTAATTTATCGAGATCACAATATTTATATTTACTGAAATTGAAGATACACAAGAAAATGTAATCACGTTAGCCTTTCATTTTCCATGACGATACTCCTGGTTGTACCTGCGCTTCCCGAAAACATTAAATCTCACGTCCAGGATATTGTTGTACGCATAGATGAATCAATATAAAGATAGGTTTGAAAATCACTTGTGATTTTTTGAAGAATTTTACCAACTAGCAACGTAAAGGCAGTCCATACTTTTGCAAACTACATATATTATTTAGGGGCATTGAGAGTACAATAATTTGGTAGTTGTTGAAGCTTTTTCCTTGAGTCTCATTACAGAAAACAAATTTTACTTATTTGATAATTCAGCATTAGTGACAACTTTACTGCCTATTTCATTTATAAGTATTTTGTCAAATAAAAGATCTATATCTCCTGCAAATCACATATTTTTCAGGGATGAGATGATAGATAAAATGATGTTATGGCTATTCAGCTCTGATTTTGCGAGTTGAAAAACCAGTCAACTAACAGTATCATTATTTCGCAATTTTAAAAGAATTCGTAATTTGTAGATTTAATTGCATTGATCTAATTCCAATACCGACAAGTATTTGGTTTGTAATTCACATCAGTTACAAGTTGATATACATCAAAAAGCTTAGCTTGGATTTAAAAGCGCAATTTTGTATCTAAAACAAGGCAAGCAGTCGATAAAAATGTCGTTACATTTTTTTATTATTCTAATCAATGAATATTACCTTAACCACGTTGCTGAGTATAGACAATTATGGTCAATGGTCACTGCCAACAGACATCAAGATAGTATCTTAATAAAAGTCTGAACTTCTAAAAAGGGAAGTTTTCTGAATTGCACATAATAAATAAGTACCAAAATCTTCTAATGATGTTTGATGCCGGCAACTTAGCAACAAAAACATTTAGAGAAGTGATAAAATAAGGAAATGAAAACTGAGGAAAGTCACAAAATAAATTTATGTACTCAAGTAATTCGTCAGCATCCAGCTCTTAACTCAGATTGTCAATGCAAACACTTCAAGGCACATTTAGTTTATGGAAACACTTCGAAATATTCTACCACTTTTAAAATGAGCTTAGTATTACCAAACCACCGAGTAAAAGTTTCATTTCGCTTTATAAATATGGTGAAATTAAAAGCTTTAGTTCATTTATACAATATCGATCTTAATCGGTAAAATTAAATGCAGAATGCTATGCATATTAAAACATTGATGGGTAGCTAATATAATATGTTCTCGATCTAAAACTATGATAACTGGGCACTAAGATGATGGATTATTTATAAATATATACACAAAGTACCACGCATAACCTGATGAGTAAAAAGTAAATAAACCACTTACTACTACTGAGTTAATTCAGGCATATCGATAGGTACTTTTATTCAAGTAACTTGGGTGTTTATAAGACCCCCCCCCAAAAAAAAAAACAGATTTCGAAAAGTCGAATGTCAAAACTTCAAAGTGACCTAGCGAGTTCCAAACGTTTTGAAAACGGTACTCATCATTAATAAAATTCGTTCACTCTACAATTTGGACTAAACAAGTTTTAAAACAAAAGTGGAATGAAAACCGAAAAAAACCACCTCTGGCTTTAAAATGCACGAGATAAGTATGACTTGCCTAAAAATGTTTCTTTTCAAGTGTGTAGCTTTTGAGCGTTTTTCAAGTTCGTTGTCATTTGGATATAAGGAGAAAAAAATTGTGTTTAAGATAAACTTATAACATTCTAGATATGTTCATAATATGGCCGTAAGTTTGATCCCAATATCCCAACTTTTGCTACTTTCATCTAATCAAGGCGTTATGTTTTCAAAAATAAAGTCACAGTTCACCCATTTCAGCACATTTTCTCTTTTTTAATTAGGATTCCATGAAATCCTATTTGAATGACATTTTAGAACATCAGACTTTCTTACAAGGCTATTTCGCGTAAAATTTTCCATCATATACCCATAGATTTATATATACCACGGCTAAGTCTTGCAAGTTACAAAATATAATGGTATATTTCGACCAAAAAATCCAACTTACGTTGCATGGATCTGCTGGACGTTCTTCTGTTGCCGGACAAACAGGTTGACTGTTATTTCCATTTTTAATGATATTTTCAGATATACCATTTGATATTTTGCTTGGCTTTAAGCTCTGATAATCTTCAGTTCCAGAAAATAGCTTAAGATGCTTTTCAACTGCTCGAAATGCTGCTTGAAAGCTCTCGGACTGTCTTTCATTCTTGGGCTGAGAAACGGAAGGAATAGTTTCAACGTTACTGTAGTTGTCTAAACCGTTAGCTATAGACTTATTATCTAAACCACTTGCTTCTGAGGTCTTCTCAAGGTTACTATCATTTGCACAATTATTTTCGTTATTTTCCTTTTCTTCTCTGCATTGCATAGCCTTTTCTCTGGCAAAGCTATGTATTCTCGACACTTTTCTCTGTGTATTTGTTTGCTTTCCAGAGAATAATTGCTCCATTTCACCCATAACACTGTCCAAAATAGTATAGTTTATCTGTCGCTTATGGTAAGGTAAATTACTCACTTTTTCATTTGCCTTATGATGTGAATTATTTTCGCCCAGAAAGGTTTTCTCTGAGTTCTCTGTATGAGTTTGACCAACTACTATGTTCTTGGATGTCACACCAAGCTCGTTTGTTGATACATTAGGAAAGTCCATATCAGCAGTCGTGGATTTAATTGGTTCCCTAATGTCTGTGGGAAAGGTATTCACTTTCTTGGAAGAGATGTTCCCAGGCAATTCCGAACCTTTGATGTACAAATTTGTTGCAGCGGGCAAGTTAAATTTACTTTTATTCATGAGTGGATTACTTTTTTCAGTACACACTGTGCTCCTATGTGGCACTGCTCTAACTGCAGTAAATATCTCTGTGTCGTCCTTATCATTCAAATCTTGATGTGATTTCTCAGGTTTTACGAGAGACAACGAACTGTCTTCTGTTCCAGAGTAGCTACTATTTTCACTTTGAAGATGATTTCTTCTTACTTGTGAAAAGTTTCTTTCAGACTGAATATTGTGAAAAGATTGCGAAGTAAAGGATAGAGATGATGACGTTACGGACGTAGATATAGGTTTGGTGGTTTTTGAATCGTTTACGATTTCCGATGGGGTTGTATGACAAGGGTCTCCATCAAAGTGTGAAGAACAGGGACAAACTGAATTGCTGCGAACAGGTTCCGTGACAGCTTGCGTTGTATCACCTGTGGTGCTTTTTTTACGAGCTATACTTTCTGAAGGTCTATAAGACTTTTTAAACGTTGAAGAAACTTTATTCTTATCACCTTCACCATCCTTTCTCCACGAATCGTAGGCTGAATTGATATTTGATGAATTCTTCGATTTTATTGTTGTATGGTTAGGGTAATTGTCGCTGAGTCTTGCGAATGGGTCGGCAATTGTATGGTTTCTTGTGTTTATCCTAATAGTCGTATTTTTGTGACCTGGATTTTCAGAACATGCCTGGTTATTGAACAGAGTATACCCACCTTGTAAGCTTCTGTTTTTTGTCTTTTCACTAGGAGGATTTTCTGATTTTTGAGAAAAGGAATGTTCATCAGCATTATATACGTATTGACTTGATCGCTTGCTGCCTTGGTACCCTCTAGGTATCATAAAATTAACAAGAGAATCCTTGCTTAACTCACTTTTTGATGGCTTAGGTAATATTGCTGGTTGCTTAAAATCCGTTCGTGTGCTGTTCTTTGTAGATGAGGATGCTTTTGATTCTTTTGGTTTATTTTTATTTTCGTTGGAATTCAGCAAATCGTGGTTTATTGGACGACCTTCGTCTCGTTCAACGCTTGATATGTTAGATGGTAAACCGTTGTATCTGCTTGTATTCTCAATTCGATGTCCACTTATTGCAGTTTGTGTTCTGTATTCATTAGGGTGAACTGGTGCAGTACTTTTGCCACCCTCTCCCACGCTAACCTGAGACGCAAAACTCTCCCTACTTGGCTTAAGAGTGTCTAAAAAACTTTCAGCTCGAGGTCGTTCATTTACTTTATAAACTGTTAAACTAGTAGGAGTAGGCAAGTCAGAAACTCTACCAGTAGATTGGATTCTCCTATTAGGATAAGTATTGTGTCTCTGAATTCCATTGTCTCTGTGTAGAAGGTTTTGATAAGCACATGTAAGGCGGGCTGTAGCTGAATGGTGCTTGACTCCCGACTGTATATTTCTAGACAGTTCGTTCATTGAAATTTCGCTTTGAAATTTCTCTCTGACTTGTTTGACTAGTCCAGGTGTAATCCCGTATGGTGTGAATAGTTCGCATGAGGATGTAATATTCTGTGAGTCTGAAGGTTTGAGCATTATTCAGCAAGAAGTGGTCAATAAAACTTTCGAATTTCCCAATGTATTTAGGATTAAATAGTAGAATATCCAGAGTGTCCAGCAACTGACTTCATAAGTTTACAATTACATTCGTCGAAATTTGACGACAAAACAATCAAAAGTCGTCAAAGAACTATATTGAAAAACTATACTCAATGATAATCAATGGATGTCATACTGAACCCGGTCACAGCGATAAAGTATCATAACTGCAAAATAAGCGCTTTTCCATATGGAGAGTTCAAAGTTAATCGATGCATTAAAAAAACCATACGAAAAATGGCTCCACAATTATTATACATAATATTCATTGTAAATATCCATTGAATAGAATGACACTTGATCAAGACGTCAAAGAAAGGCGATCTCAATAAGTGTGATAGCTACAGAGGCATCACTGTCCTTTCAATACCAGGAAAAGTCTTCAACAGTGTGTTGTTAAACAGAATGGAGGACTTCGTAGACGCCCAACCTCGAAGCCAACAGACTGAATTCTGTAAAAGTCGATGGTGTACAGGCCAAATAGCAACACTATGGGTCATTATGGAACAATCAATTGAATGGAATTCATCACTCTACATCAACTTCATTGACTACCAAAAATCATTTGATAGCGTGAACAGAACAATACTATGGAAGCTCCCTCGACACTGCCGCGTGCCTCAGAAGATAGTCAATATCATACGGAATTTCTATGATAGATTAAACTGCAAAACTGGAGGACAATTGACAGACTCGTTCGAGGTAAGGACCGGTGTCCCTTTGTCCTGGTGATCGACTGGATCATGAAGACATCAACATCTGAAGGGGAGCGCGGGATACAGTGGACATCTAGGATGCAGATGGACGATCTAGACTTTGCAGATGATCTGGCCCTCCTATCGCAAACGCAACAACAAATGCAAGAGAAAACGACCTGTGTAGAAGCAGCCTCAGCAGTAGTAGGTCTCAATATACACAAAGGGAAAACCAAGATTGTCTGATACAACATAGTATGCACCAATCAAATCGCACTTGATAAAGAAGCTTTGGAAGATGTAAAAACCTGTACATATCTAGGCAGCATCACTGATGAGCACAGTGGATCTGAAGCAGATGTGAAGGCGCGGATCGGCAAAGCAAGAGCAGCACATCTACAATTGAAGAAAATCTGGAACTCAAAACAATTAGCAGCCAACACCAAGGTCAGCATTTTCGATATAAATGTCAAGACAGTTCTACTGTATGGAGCAGAAACTTGGAGAACTACGAAAGCCCTAATCCAGAAGATACAAGTATTTATTAACGGTTGACTATGCAAAATACTTCGGATCCGTTGCTCGGACCTACTGTGAGAGAAAACAAACCAGATCCCAGCGAAGGGAGAAATGAAGAAGGAGAACATATTTCTTGGCTTCACTTTCCTATTAATTCATTCGTTACCTCAGTTATGAGCTTTCAACTCTGGAATTAAATGTACTGTATTTCATTCGTCTGTTTTCTCTTCAGATAGCTGGTATAAAACCGTTGTACCACCAAACGCTTTGAAATACTTATCTACATTGTTAGTGTCCATGGTTTCACTTGTCTGTTGTGGCATAGATCCCCAACTCCACGATCATAAATTTCGAGCACATAACTACTGGAAATATCTATATTCAACATATAACACCAGGAGAAGGTAAACAACAAGGAAAGTGGGATCAACTGATCGATATTTCAAGGCTCAGCCCCTCATGTGTGGTCATCATTGTAACAAACGCTTATTTACATTTAAATGAACTATTCTATCCGCAGCGCAAATGTGTTCGTCAGAAGTGGTAAACGTCGTTGTGATGATTGTCATGTTACGACGAGCCTGAGTTTTATTATTATTCACAAAAATCTTACGGGTACATAAACACTGTGAATAGACAAGTTGTGACTTTCACGTAAGATCTTATGGATTAGTTCGTCGGGTCATGACAAATCTACAATATTGAGGTTAGGTCTATTATTATAGTAACGAAGACCAATGTACTAAATCGATCCAGAATACAATTCTACAAGTCTTTTTGTCAGTTTCCATCACCAAACCAAATGATGATTAAACGTGAAGTTTTTCTGCTCCTATTTGCTCCAAGATTTAGGAGAATAGATGTGTTCATCAACCTAAAACATGAAACAAAACTGAGAAATCCAGTACTATGAAGTCAACCCGCATTTTTATGTCGCTAATATAATAATTAACTGTCATGATAAAATGTCAGTGAAACACTCTATCTTCGTTACAGATAAATAGTTTTTTGCCTCATTCACTGCATCAATTGACTTCCACATATCTTTATAATAGACTTTTGATTACCTTGAAAATCCTCGAGGGCTACAAATTTAGTAAAATAATTCATCTGTTACTATACGGCTGGGAGTCCTTTAAATATGGATAACCTAAGTATATTTTATTAACAAGTATCCAAGACTTTTATTTACCAAGTACCCGTGTTGTGATTTGGGGGAAAAGTTCTCAGATATATTGAATATTTGAACCAGCGTAGTTCTTTTCCCAGAAGTTTCTGGTATTCTGAAAACTTATTCAGTACTTAACCAAATACTAACAGATGTATCTGTTACATATGGCAGACAGTGACAAGAGATAAACATTTGATTATTCTTAAGGCGATTTAAATTTCGGAAACTGCAGATAGGAAGTCGCACTTACAAGTAATTTATGTCATTCTATACACCTATATATATATATATATATATATATATATATATATATATTCGACCTGATAACTTCACCTTTCTATAACAATGCGTATGGCAATGGGTATGGTTCTACGTTGTGACTGACTGACTGACTGACTGGCTGACTGACTGACTGACTGGTATTTGTTAACGGATACTTGATGTTAAAGTTATGGCTCGGGGGCACTGTCGCCCAGTGCAGTAATCTGCTAGTCATATAGGCAAGAATTCCTTTCTTAGAGGCAAAAATAGGAATCAAATTTTTGTTGTCTGCCAGTACAATAAACTTACAGCTGTAGAGTATTTTACGCGATGCTGTCTTTGGCATCAACGTGAGAAAAACACTGACAAATACGTGACAAGATACACGATATTTTAACGTGAAAAATAATAATATGCCTATTAAATGAATTTCAGATAGCCCATAACTTCCGATCAAACTAAAGTTAATCCAATATATACAAGCTCAAAGTAGTATATGCAAAATCCAACCAGTCATGATCAAATGTACAAAATCTAATAGCATATTTGGACATTGTAGGCGAAAGAATGTAGGTCTAAATCAGGATTTTAGAATCTAATTAGAATCACCATTTATTTACTCAAATTTTCTTCACGCCATAACTATGGCCTTGATGTACAAATGAAGTACTTCAAGTTAAGTGATAAATCAATTAATAAACGTAGTCTTAACAGCAGAATCCAACTTACTTTTGGGTTTGCATTATCGCTGGAGCGTTGTTAGTACTTGCATTCTCAAGAATGTTTTATTGCAAATTCTACACCCACCACCAAAACGTTCCTAAAACTACCACTGCGGTAATGTACATTATGTTAGTCCATAATGTTTTAATTTGGCAGAGCCTGTATGATTTTAAGACGCCACAAACATTCGTATTCGAAACGTGCCAACTCAGGGAAAGTGTAAGTTAGAAGCGAAGAGGTTTGAAGACATATTTGATAGGCCATTGATATACTAAGAAATGATCATTCTAAGCTCATTAACGGTTGTAGGAAACGTGAAACACGACGTCCTCACTCGCGACCTGGAGAGGATGCTTTATCGAGCGCCTACAGCTAGGCGAATCCATTAAAACTAATGTGGTCAGAATCAAATTCGAAGACTTACAGAGCTATTGAATTTGAAGATTTGCATATCGCTACAGATCACTACTCCCTAGTGAGGCAGTGATGACCCTAAGACGTGACCAGTTAGAATTTTAAACCCAACGAGTTTGTCGTTGGTAAGCACTCTTCCCGATAGCTTGCCATGTTCAGCACCGTCTGGTCGTAGTTCCTTACTATTAGAGGACATATGGTGCACTAAAGTAATCAAGATACAATGAAAACTCTGGTTCATCGTAAACTTCGTCGTTTTCTTAGTCCCTTCCAGCCGTTTTGAGGAAAAAAAGATATGTAAGTGCATGTCGAATCACAGTCGTACGTGCGTAAAGACACAAAGCGGGAGAAACAAAGGAAGGTAAACTAATGCATATGTGTTAGCGTAAAGGCGATTTTTACAGAATGTTTTTTTTAAATTTTACATATATACATATTGACGAGTAAACTAACAGACAAAAAATTTGTTTTTGAATCTGTTTTCAGATACTTTCAAAGTATCATCGTGAGTTTGGGCTATCGGCCGAGGTATCGTAAATGTACGACTCGTGTCTTCCGATTGTACCGAAGTAAAATCGACATCAAAAGGGTTTCTTTCTAAATACGCCGCGTTGATGCGATCGATGCTGATTCTATCGTTAGTTCTGTTCATATCGATGACATAGTACTTAGATTCACGTTGAAGTTTGAAGGGTTCTTCATATGCTGCTTCGAGAGGTCGTCAAAATGAGTCGCGACATGCAAAGACGTGTGTACTATGTCATAAAGCAGGTCGAACGGAAACATCGGTTGATTGCAGTCGAGAGAATATAGGTTTAACTGAATGCATTGTGTTTGTAAGCTTGCCCATGTAAAAGTTTAGATCCATAATTACTGAAGTAGATGAAACATCCACGGATTCTCCTAGACGTCGGAGTGTCGTGCCTTAAACAAGTTTAACTGCAGTGTCCCAAATGTCAGATTTCATTGTATTGCGAATGCTGAGTAAAGCGAGTGGAAGAGCCTCGGTCTATCGTTAAAGGTTTGCAGCTGAGAGTGAAGCTTTAAGCTGTCAGTGAAATCCTTCCACCAACCCATTTGTTTGTAGATGATATGTGGTCGTTCATAGTCGTACGGTTCCCTATAGTGTAGTCAGACAACAGAAAAGTCCGGAATCGACTCGGATTCACGGTCTGTAGTGACAGTTGAAGGGTAGACAAAGTTTTCTAACCATCTTTCGACAAAGGCACGAGCCACTGTTTCAGCAGTGATGTCCTCGATTCGTACTACTTCTGGCCATCGAGTGAAATGATCTGTACAAGTTAAGAGATAAGAGTATCCATTTGAATCTGATAAAAATCCTACCAAATCCAGGTTGATATGGTCGAAAAGAGCATCAGGAGTTAAGA